GAGCAGTGGTGGAGGCGCTGCTCTTACCGGGCAGGCGAGAAGGACCGAGGCGCGTCGGCAGGAACAGGGCCGCGACAGCAGGAACGGCGGCTCGACGGCTCAGCGGCGGCGGCGTCTCGGCGGCTCGGCAGCACGGCGGCAGTGGCGGCTCGGCGGCCCGGCAGCTCGGCAACAGCGGCGGCTCGGCGGCTCGGCTGCGGCAGCGTCTCGGCGGCTCGGCTGCTCGGCGGGGCCGCGAAGGTGTGGCGACGGGGCCGCAAAGGGCGGCGGTGGGGTCGCACGGGTGGGGCGACGGGGTCGCGGGCGGCTTTGACGTCGGGAGCGCAGGCGGCTGCGGCGACGAGGTCGCGGGCGGCTGCGACAGCAGGGTCGCGGGCGGCAGCGACGGTAGGGTCGCGGGCGGCTGTGGCGACAGGGTCGCAGGCGGCTGCGACGCCAGGGTCACGGGCGGCCGCAGCGGTAGGGTCGCGGGCTGCCGCGGCGACGAGGTCGCGGGCGGCGCGAAGGGCGACGGGGCCGCGACGGGCGGCGTCGGGGTCGCGGGCGGCTGTAACGACGCCGCGCAGGGCGACGCGAGGGTGGGGCCGCGGGGTCGCGAGGGTAGGGCCGCGGGGCCAGCAGAAGCGGCGCCGGGGCCTAAAGGGCGGCGCGACAGGGCCGCTAAGAGAAGCGAAGGGGAGGGGGGGGGGGCGCGACTCGGGCAGGGGCGGAGCGCGCTCCGGGCAGGAAAAAAAAGAAAGAAAAGGTTACGGTGGGCCCTAGGAACAGTTCCCACGAGGGAACCTGCTCTATACCATGTGAAACTTAGAACGAGAATGGGGATGACTAACAGGAATGAGAGTACAAATATGAAACCCTAGAGTTCTGTACCCTCTAAGGCTAAACCCACTGTAGCCTACAAAGCTACAACATGCATAATGTTTGACACCATCCTCCCCAGAGAACTTCTCCAGGTTGAATGCCTTCACATCCTTAGCTGGTGTTGAGACGGAAGCCACTGGTGTAGATCCGCCTGCAACGCCTCTTGTTGCTTCCCCAGCGCCTCTCACGCCACCACTGCCACTAGGACCAGTTGGAGCATTTCAGCCTCCGAATTGACCTAAGAACAGAGTAGAACCACGCTGATACCACTACTTATTGTCTAGAGTCCACTTAGGGGTCACTGATGCCCGTGAAACCGCCTAAGCAGAAACTGACAACTTCGAACCGCCTCTGTTCAAAACGCCGTCACGATCAGCTCCAGTTGGATACGACGCTGAAAATTTGATAGAATTTATCCTTATGTGCCTGCTCTCCAACGATATATTGCTTGTTTTTATCACAGGTGTATGCGCTACGCAGTGAACGAAAACGTAAGCTCGGCTGAAAACATGGCTTCATTGATGCAAGGAGGAGGTGGGTACAACATTGCCTATGGGACTCTTAAGAGGTTGGGATCATCGTGGTAACTCAGAGAATGTTGAGTCATAGAGAAGAAAGGCTAGAGAATGGTAACTATTCAACTAAGTCAGCAAAGCGAACCACACTTGGATGTTCAGTGCTGTACTTAAGGCCTTCAATAATGAGTCAAGCCAACCATGAGTCAGCTTGTCTTCCCACTTGCACCCTCTTGCAAGCTGCTTCCAGGAAGACCACACTTCTCAAAAGGAGGGTGGTAGGGTTCCACTTGACCACGTGTACTTCTTGTCTCATTCTGTGTCCCTACACCAGTGGCATGACAACAATAAAAGGGTAGCAAGGGAAATGCTGCCAACACTGCACCATGACTACGGAACAATGACTTTCGACAGCTGTCACGTGCTGCTCCGATTTTGGGTTGTCATGAAATTTGGTGACCACCTGCACGACGCGGCAAAAGTCTGCCACACTCATTTTCAGACCAATCAGAGCTCGTTAGATGAGTCAGCAGCCAAAATGGTGAACTAGGTTGTTAACACACTTCCGGAATGCCATAAGTATTGAAACTTAAAATGTTGCCATGCTTTGTTAACCACATAAAAAAATATGAAACTTTGAGGGTTAGATGAAGACATGTTGAAGCATCTCACGAAATTCCAGAAGCTGAGAATGCCTATAGGCTGAATGGGAGTGCGATGACTGTGCCACTAGTGTGTTGGCACACCAAAAATGTTACTAGGTGAAAATTCGAGAGTAATGAATGAACAAGTCTGATCCCCTCTAAAGAAAATAAACCCTAGTCTAGCCTATGATTAAATGCATATGTATAAGTACAAACCTACAGTTAGACACACCCCCTTGGCTAGACAAGGAGTAGTCTCTTAGGAACAATTACAAGCAAACTCAAGGCGACACTACTACTCCAACCTCCGAGACAAACAAGGCCATATGGCCAGTCCAAGTGTTCGCACAAATATCTGTAAGTTACACATGAAGGAACAATGATCAAGAAACAAGCAAGTGAGGACCACAAATAACTAATTTGAGCTGAGTAAAAAAATTGCTGATGGTCACAAGGCTCAAGTGCCTTTGTGAAGATGTTAGCGGTATTGGCCTCTGAGGCCACTCTAACTACCCGAGCCTGACCATGTTGTTGCAGCTCGCCAAGAAGTATTGCAACTCAACGTGCTTCGTATGCCCCACAAGTTATGGCTCCTGACACAACATGATCATGGACCTGTTGTCAGTAGAGAGCACTGAGGCAGTTCGAGGCGGCTCACCCAGGTCAGTGAGCAGAAAGGTGAGCTAGCACAACTCGTGTGCAGCCATGGCCCCGAGTAGAGCTCAGCCTCACAGCTAGAGAGCAACTGATGTCGCACGAGTCGACCTACAAGACACACTCCAAACTCGAGACTAAAGTCGTAGCCCTGTAAAGGCGAATGAACATCGTCTAACCAACAAGCCTGGCTGGTCATTTCCCTCCATGCACAAGCCCCATGCCTGATGTGCTCACCGGGTAGTGCACACCCCTCTTAGCGGCCTCCCAGTTGGCAGGACGGTATCTCTCGAGTGCAACAAAACGAGCAATGATAGTGGAAATAGTTGCACTACATTGTGTAGTGTATCTTTTCTATTAGTGTACGCCCTTATGGTGGGTAGTTTTGAGACCCTTCGTGGTTGAAGATTGTGTGGAATTTGGGATTTGTAGATGCTGGGAGTTATTCCCAATTCGCAACTTTTTCATAATTTTTGCTCAAGGACTACGGTTGCTGCTAGACCGCCGTTATGTTAAACTTACATCATGTCGTCATTTAATTAATCAACTGAGTCAACTTGCCTATTGTAGACGACGTTAAGGCACTTCAGATCCAATCGATGGTGTGACCAGAACACTAGCAATTTTTAAAGCCGCTCTGTAGATATCTGTCTGTGCACTCTATCTTTTGTTTTAGGCAGATTTTATCCTACTCTAACTACAACAGGTGCTAGGTCTGGTGCTGGAAGTGGTGTGACAGTGGTGTGATACGCCGGAGAGATGTGGGAAGGAAAGACATATGTCAAGAGTAGTCATATCTGGGCTAACAACCATACAAACACCTCCACTAGAAACACAAACACCTATGCTGGGAACAGATTAAGGTCCTAGTCTAGTTACATGCGAGCAAATAGGTCAGCACTATAGTCAACAATATTCATGGCAAAATAAGCATCATCCATGGATATATCAAACACATGGTAGCCACGACTTAGCAGAACGGGCCAGCGTGGAACAACTGCCTCAGTTCCGTGACGCTGACGAAAGAGGTCGTCGAGCTGACCGAAGCAGTGCGAAGCGGAGACCATAGGTAGTGCCTGTACTGAGACCAGTCAGGTTCCGATACTGGTAGGGGCCAACATCGCGGCCTTTGCGACGCGGTCCCCAGCAGGTAAGCCGCTGCTGAAGCCGACGCTCCCAGGATCACCATGTCCTGACTGCTCCCAAGGCCCTCACCGCTGGAACTGCTGCTGCTGCTGCTCCTGCTGCGGCGGCTCTGGCTATAGCTGTTCCCGCCCCACCCCCAGGGCTAGCACCCCCAGGTATCGTACCTGCAGCGCCAGCCCCCCCTCCTAAGCCACCTCCCACCACCTACACCTCTGCCACCCTTCCCTCCCTTCTTACCTCCCTTGCCCCGTTTCTTCCAACCAGCAGCAAAAACGACTACTGTCTCCTCAGTAGCAGATGACCCAGCAACAGCAAGAAAGGCATTGAAGGTAGGAACCTAGGGCACAGCACAACCCTCAAAGAGACGGGGAACTAGTGCAGCTGTGGCTGAGTCAACAGAGCGGAGGTTACTCTCAATCTCATTGACTTCAATGATAAGCTCAGTGGGGTGCTTCCTAAGAAGCGTGTCATGCGCAGATGAGAGGCGGTCATGGAGGCGGGTGACGATGAAATAGAGGATGGCAAACATAGGCGGGCTACCAAGCTGGGTGTCGGAACAAGCAGCACAGTACCTAGTGTCAAGCAAGTGCAGGTTAGTGACTCGGTCTAAAGTAGTGTGAAATGCAGCAAGGTCTAGGAAGAAGTACGGCATGAGGAGGTGTTTCATGGAGGCAGAGGAAGGAGTGGAATAACGAGAAACGATGGTGTTGAGACACTCCTTCGCAGACGTGACCTGGCTGGATTGGACGGCCTTGGTCAGCGGGAGGACACAAATTACTAATTTGAGCACCGTAACATGGCTCCAGACCGAATACTCCAAGTGCCGCCTAGCAAACGTCTTCTGTTCCGCCTTAGTGGGCACGGCAGGGAGCAACTTGGGACGCGGAGGGGCTAGCAAGTCGCTCGCGTGTGTGTGAACAAAGTGTCGCTGTCCTGACGCTTGATCCTAAGTTGCAGCTGAGCATGGAGCAGCCAGGTGCGATCTCTTGATCCTTTGCTTCAAACTGCAGGACTCTAGTGGACGCCATGGTGTAGGAAACGGGCTAGGAACTGCTGGCTAGTAATGGCTGGCTAGAAAGTGCTGGCTAGGAACTACTGGCTGGGAATGCCAGGCTAGGAACGGCGGGCTAGGTATGGCGGGCTAGGAAATGTAACATGGGAACCAACCCTGAACTCTAGACTACTCCAGTGAGAGTGACTGCGGCTTCCAGCCGCTGATAGGAGCACCAGTACGGGAGAACGGTTGCAGCTGGTAGGAACAGGCGGGGCAGGATCGGGCACTGGTGGGGCGGCGGCGTGCACTGCTAGAGCACTGGTGGCTAGTGCTCTTGGCGTTGCTGGCGGCACATGCACGGACAAGGCGCGCTGCAAGTGCAGCTATGGGCGAATGAAAGCGGCTGTGCGCGCCTGTGCGTGGCAGTGCAGCGGCTGTGCGCTGCTGTGCGGCTGTGCGCTGCTGTGCGGCTGTGCGCTGCTGTGCGGCTGTGCGCTGCTGTGCGGCTGTGCGCTGCTGTGCGGCTGTGCGCTGCTGTGCGGCTGTGCGATGCTGTGCGGCTGTGCGCTGCTGTGCGGCTGTGGGCGGCTGCGCTGTCTTGTGCGGTTGGGCACGTCTGTGTGTGTCTCTGTGCAGCTGCGCGCGCTGGTGCGTGCAGTCATGTGCGCTGGCGCCTGCTGCGAACGGGCTGGCTGCTGGCGACAGGCTGGCTGGCTGGCTGGCTGGCTGGCTGGCTGGCTGGCTGGCTGGCTGGCTGGCTGGCTGGCTGGCCTAAGGCGGCCTAGGAGGCAGGTGACCCAGGAACTAACCAATGATATCATGTCAGAATACTACAGCGGAATGAGAATGGACTAGCAAGAATCGGATACGAAGGTGAAACCCTAGAAGTGTTGTAATCTCTAAAGGGCACCTCCTTGTAGCCTAGAACTTACAGTTATATATAAATTGACACCTTCCCCCCTTCCCCAAAAACAGCAGCATTCAAATGGTCAAATAGCTTTTCATGACTTGTCGAGCTAACGCATCAGCTCCACTATTTCTGTAGATGGCAACCAGGTTATGGGCTGCTTCTCGTTTCAACCCTGCCTCATATTCCTGCCCCTCATGATTATTGATTTCCCTGTTTCTGCGATTTCTCGATCCCGGCTGCTGGGTCGTGGCATGGTGTGGGAGTGAAGTGGCGGAGGAGAGAACGCGCTTGTAGTGGTCGACAGCGAGGTGCAGCAGACCCACATGGTGGAACGCACGACCCAAGTTGAAATGCACCTCCTGTGATGCGCAACAGGGAACCAAACGGGAAATGCTGGCCAAGTGAGAGAGATGACGAGGGAAGCAGATGGAGGACCCACTTGGAAGCACAGTTCACCAGTAAAGTATGTTGACTAGCCTCCTTCTAACCTGCTCTCACCTCAGTTCAGGTGGCCTCACCTGAGTGTCCCCTGATAGCTGGGTGTACTGCTGCAGCAGCGCCATGCCCTGCAGTACGCACTGGCTGCGGTCGCGCAGACGCGAGCCCAGGGAGAGATTCAGCAGCGCCACTCCTGGCGGCAGCCAGTGTGTGCGGCGTGGGAGGGTGAGGGGGATGAGAGGGGTGAGGGGGATGAGAGGGGTGAGGGGGATGAGAGGGGTGAGGGGGATGAGAGGGGTGAGGGGGATGAGAGGGGTGAGGGGGATGAGAGGGGTGAGGGGGATGAGAGGGGTGAGGGGGATGAGTTGTAAAATATTGTGGTAGTGAAACACACATGAGCTGGTAGGCACACTGCAGACGGCAACTCCCAGAGCTACACCCGTGGCAACATCCCCCCCTCTCCCTCCTCCCCCTCCTCCCCCTCCCCGCTTCCCATCGCCCTCCTTCCCACAGCACTGCCCTGAAAGCCCTCACAAGCGCACCACAGCAGAGGCAGATGAGGGGGTCGTGGGGGTGCAGGCGGTGGGCGCGCAGGTACTCGCGGCACGCGCCCTGCATGTGGCCGCGCAGCGCGTGGTGGTGGCCCGACACCACCATGGCCGCCACGCACGCCGGGTGCCGCATGCGCATCTGCTGCAGGAACTTGGCCCGCCGGTCGTTGCTCTCCGTGCCCCTGCAGGGGGGAGAGGGGCAGCCGTGGTGGATGGAGGGAGGTCTGATGGGTGACACGTGTGCTTGTGGCAGTGGGGACTGGGATGTCCATGGGTGTGTGTGTGGTTGCATGTGTGTGGTGTGCATGTGCGTGGTTGTGTGGGTGTGTGTGGGTGTGTGTGGGTGTGTGTGGGTGTGTGTGGGTGTGCGTCTGAGAAATAGACACCCTGCCCCCTGTGTCTTGGCATATTGTCCAATCCATCAGAGTGAGCGCGCACGAAAGAGTGGGGTGTATGTGTACATGAGAGAGGGAACACACAGCGCACCTGAGGGTGAGGGAGCACACAGCGCACCTGAGGGTGAGGGAGTGGAAGAGCGACCAGCCGCGGATGCTGTGAGGCTGCTCGCTGATGATGGCCCGCGCCACCTCAAACTGCAGCATGCCCCTCGCCTCCTCTGCACGCCCACGGGGCACCACACTCAGTGGAGTGGCATGGCCGTAGGGGGGACGGGAGGTGAGGGCATGGGAAGGACAGGGAAACAGCAGCATGGAGCAGCAGGGAGCAGCAGGGGGGAGCAGGAGGGGAAATGGCCGGAAGAAGGATCGGGCTCTCACCAGCAATGGCTGACTGCAGCTGCTTTCGCATGGGCTTGGGAAGGTTCCGGGAAAGAGCGGTCTCAACGAGGCGCTCAGCTTCCATGGGGCGGCCCTCATGCAGCAGAGTCTGCACCACCTGGCGGGGTGGCGGTGGTGGGCACACAGTGGGCACACGGTGCGAGGGGATGGGGGAGGGCGCGGGGTGAGGGGTGCAGGGAGAGGCGGGTCTGGTGGGAGCAAGCAGCACTGGTGCAGCGGACACGGACTTTAGCGGGTGTGCAACGGTACACGCAGATACTGGAGCCCTATGGTGGCGGCAGAGGGGCAGAGTGGGTGCATGGGAAGTGGCAGGGCAATGTGGGGGGAGGTGAGAGAGGGGCTTCCAGGGCAATGTGGGTGAGGGAGGGTGGCAGCAGCAGCTGCTCCCTCCACCACTGGTTCCATCCGGGCTTGATCGTGCAAGCTATGTGGTGTGACGAGTATTGCCATATGGCAGTACGATACGCGGCATTACAGGGCGAGATGGAAGGAGGAGGGAGGCAGAGGCAGGAAGGGGGAAGCAGAGGCGCACCTTGAGCAGCAGGGCGAACTGCTGGTCGTCTGAGAAGATTCCAGGAAGCGGCACCTCGTGCAGCGTGGGCTCGTCCACGTCCTTCAGCCCCAAGTCGCTCAGCTGTGTGCCGCGCCCAGGGGGAGGGGCGGTTGAGGGGAAGGGGGAGGGGAGGGGGGGATGGGGTTCAGAGAGCTCAGCTGTGCGGCGCCCAGAGGCTATGTTGGCAAATACGCCCTTGGGGGGTGGGCGTATTGCGTATATACGCTAGCGTATGTACGCAATACGCTAATACGCCTAAAAATCGCTAAAATACGCCGGGGCAGCCCGTAAAAAAAAAAAAAAAAAAAAAAAAAAACGAGAATTTGCGACAGCGAGAATTGAACCCTCGACCTCGCACAGAACCCAACCCCTGTCTGCAATTCAAAAATCAAAATCAAACCTCTCCCACATCCCCAACCACACACCACCCCTCTCGACCTCCCAAACCCAACCTCCCCCCTTTCACTCATTCGAACATCTCGTCAATCCCTAAACAGCTCGTCTTTCATTCAATCCCGCATTTCTGTTCTTGCATTTCGTCCAACTCTCGTCAGGCTCGAACTCTCCTAACTTTAGTACTTCCTCGCCATGGCGACCTCTACTCCCTACAGTTCGAGGGCGGAACCTGCCCGGGAAAAAGTTTTATCTGCCCGCCCAGCGTATTTTTGCGTATCAGCAGTACGCCAGCCATGGCGTACCGCGTATATACCCAGCGTATAATACGCTAGCGTATTATACTCGATACTCGTATTTTCCAACGTAGCCCAGAGGGAGGGGAGGGGGGACGGGAGGGAAGAGGAGAGTGGGAGGGGAGGGGGGAAGGGGAGTGGGGAGGGGCGGGGGGGGGAATGGGGTGAGAGATGCATGTTGAGGGGTGAGTGATGCATGTTGAGGGGTGAGAGATGCATGTTGAGGGGTGAGTGATGCATGTTGAGGGGTGAGTGATGCATGTTGAGGGGTGAGAGATGCATGTTGAGGGGTGAGTGATGCATGTTGAGGGGTGAGAGATGCATGTTGAGGGGTGAGTGATGCATGTTGAGGGGTGAGAGAGGCATGTTGAGGGGTGAGAGATGCATGTTGAGGGGTGAGAGATGCATGTTGAGGGGTGAGTGATGCATGTTGAGGGGTGAGTGATGCATGTTGAGGGGTGAGTGATGCATGTTGAGGGGTGAGTGATGCATGTTGAGGGGTGAGTGATGCATGTTGAGGGGTGAGTGATGGATGTTGAGGGGTGAGTGATGCATGTTGAGGGGTGAGAGATGCATGTTGAGGGGTGAGAGATGCATGTTGAGGGGTGAGAGATGCATGTTGAGGGGTGAGTGATGCATGTTGAGGGGTGAGAGATGCATGTTGAGGGGTGAGTGATGCATGTTGAGGGGTGAGTGATGCATGTTGAGGGGTGAGAGATGCATGTTGAGGGGTGAGTGATGCATGTTGAGGGGTGAGTGATGCATGTTGAGGGGTGAGAGATGCATGTTGAGGGGTGAGTGATGCATGTTGAGGGGTGAGAGAGGCATGTTGAGGGGTGAGAGATGCATGTTGAGGGGTGAGAGATGCATGTTGAGGGGTGAGTGATGAATGTTGAGGGGTGAGAGAGGCATATTGAGGGGTGAGAGATGCATGTTGAGGGGTGAGAGATGCATGTTGAGGGGTGAGAGATGCATGTTGAGGGGTGAGAGATGCATGTTAAGGGGTGAGTGATGCATGTTGAGGGGTGAGAGAGGCATGTTGAGGGGTGAGTGATGCATGTTGAGGGGTGAGAGATGCATGTTGAGGGGTGAGTGATGCATGTTGAGGGGTGAGAGATGCATGTTGAGGGGTGAGTGATGCATGTTGAGGGGTGAGAGATGCATGTTGAGGGGTGAGAGATGCATGTTGAGGGGTGAGTGATGCATGTTGAGGGGTGAGAGATGCATGTTGAGGGGTGAGAGATGCATGTTGAGGGGTGAGTGATGCATGTTGAGGGGTGAGAGATGCATGTTGAGGGGTGAGTGATGCATGTTGAGGGGTGCGTGATGCATGTTGAGGGGTGAGAGATGCATGTTGAGGGGTGAGTGATGCATGTTGAGGGGTGAGAGATGCATGTTGAGGGGTGAGTGATGCATGTTGAGGGGTGAGTGATGCATGTTGAGGGGTGAGTGATGCATGTTGAGGGGTGAGAGATGCATGTTGAGGGGTGAGAGATGCATGTTGAGGGGTGAGAGATGCATGTTGAGGGGTGAGAGATGCATGTTAAGGGGTGAGTGATGCATGTTGAGGGGTGAGAGAGGCATGTTGAGGGGTGAGTGATGCATGTTGAGGGGTGAGAGATGCATGTTGAGGGGTGAGTGATGCATGTTGAGGGGTGAGAGATGCATGTTGAGGGGTGAGTGATGCATGTTGAGGGGTGAGAGATGCATGTTGAGGGGTGAGTGATGCATGTTGAGGGGTGAGTGATGCATGTTGAGGGGTGAGAGATGCATGTTGAGGGGTGAGTGATGCATGTTGAGGGGTGAGAGATGCATGTTGAGGGGTGAGTGATGCATGTTGAGGGGTGAGTGATGCATGTTGAGGGGTGAGTGATGCATGTTGAGGGGTGAGAGATGCATGTTGAGGGGTGAGTGATGCATGTTGAGGGGTGAGTGATGCATGTTGAGGGGTGAGTGATGCATGTTGAGGGGTGAGTGATGCATGTTGAGGGGTGAGTGATGCATGTTGAGGGGTGAGTGATGGATGTTGAGGGGTGAGTGATGCATGTTGAGGGGTGAGAGATGCATGTTGAGGGGTGAGAGATGCATGTTGAGGGGTGAGAGATGCATGTTGAGGGGTGAGTGATGGATGTTGAGGGGTGAGAGATGCATGTTGAGGGGTGAGTGATGCATGTTGAGGGGTGAGTGATGCATGTTGAGGGGTGAGTGATGCATGTTGAGGGGTGAGAGATGCATGTTGAGGGGTGAGAGATGGATGTTGAGGGGTGAGTGATGCATGTTGAGGGGTGAGTGATGCATGTTGAGGGGTGAGTGATGCATGTTGAGGGGTGAGTGATGCATGTTGAGGGGTGAGTGAGTGCTCTCCTTTCTCGCTTTTCTACCCACAACCCTTCCCACTTCAATCTTTTCCTCGTTTGCTCCCCCACCTCGCTTCTCCCTCACCTCGCTTCTCCCCCCACCTCTAGCTGCAGCCGCACTGAGTCTGTGCCAATCCCCCCCCGACCACCACCTGCCTTCCCCGCCCCGTCTCCTCCCGCTCCTCCCTCCCCTTCCCCCGCGCCCCTCCCCTCCCCCAGCGCCGCCTGCCTCTCCGCCTCCTCTGCTGCCAGCCGGGCCAGGCGCCGCCGATTCGCCAGCTGGCAGCTGGTGGGGTTTGTGCGGGTAGGAGGAGAGGAGGGGGTTGAGGGGGGAGGTAGGGGGGAAAGAGCGGGGAGAAGGGAGAGGGGTGATGGTGTGTGTGAGGAAGGAGAGAAATGAGGTGCTGGGAGAGGGTGGGTGATGGCATGGTGAGAGGATAGGGCACGGGATGGCATGAGAGGTGGTGACAGAAGCAGGGCGTGTGAGGGGAGGAGTCTCACAATCCCTACTCTGTGCCGTGCTCCCACAACTCCCTCTCTGCAATCACGCCATGCCTGTCATGTCATGTCATGTGAAGTGAGCTCACGCAATGCCGCGCGGCAGGCGCAGCTTGAGCCCGCGGTAGAGCCCCTCCTTGCCCTCCCTCGCCTGCTCTGCCAGCAGCGCCTTCAGCTGCCTCATCCACGGCCGCCACCACGGGTGCGCCGCCCGGAAGGCCGACAGAATCTGATGCGCGGGCAGGGGGTGGGTGAAAGGGGTGTGAGGCGAGGAGATGAAGAAGGCGAGGGGATGAAGAAGGCGAGGGGATGAAGAAGGCGAGGGGATGAAGAAGGCGAGTCCCACTCGCTCTCTGGAGCCCCCACTCACCCTCTGGAGCCCCCACTCACCCTCTGGAGCCCCCACTCACCCTCTGGAGCCCCCACTCACCCTCTGGAGCCCCACTCACCCTCTGGAGCCCCCACTCACCCTCTGGAGCCCCCACTCACCCTCTGGAGCCCCCACTCCCACAGGATCTCTCCTTGGATAACCTGCTCTGCTCTGTTCCGCCAATACTTGCAGTGAACCACCCATTCAACCTCCCACCTGCATTCACTCGCGCTGCTCATGCGAGCGCTGTCCCCTCCAGGCAAAGCTGCGTGGTGTGCATCACCGCTCGTGGCCGCTCATCCATTTCCCCACGTCTCACTCATCCATCCACCCATCCATCCATCCATCCATCCATCCATCCATCCATCCATCCATCCATCCATCCATCCATCCATCCATCCATCCATCCATCCATCCATCCATCCATCCATCCATCCATCCATCCATCCATCCATCCATCCATCCATCCATCCATCCATCCAAGATCCTGACACACATGACATGACGCACGCATCTATACACTTGAAGCCCCATCCACCTGCTCACTCTGCCGCTTGCCACCCCAAGCGCTTGCCCAACCTAAGCCCTTGCGCAGCCCACGCCCCTGCCCTGCCAGCCCACGCCCGTGCCTGCCCACGCCCGTGGCAGCCCACGCCCGTGGCTGCTCAACCCACCCGTTCGTTCTTCTCAATTGCCCACATAGACTGGGACACCATTGGCAGCGCAACTTCCAGGAACTTGCTGGCATTGTCAGCCTTGTCCCACAGATACGCCCTGGCCAGTTGCACTTCCACCAGCTTCCACCATGCCGCCCCGCCCCTCCTCCCCCTCGCCCCCTCCCCTGCCCCACCCACTGCGCTGCCCTTTGCAATGGCAGAAGAGCCTGTGGCACCTGAAGCACCCCCCTGCGATCCTCCCTGTGCTGCCTCTGCCCCCCCCTGCTGCCCCTCGCTACCCTCCTGCTCGCCCTCCCCCGGCCCCTCCAGCACAGCCGCTGCCTCTGGCAGGCGACCCGCGAGGGCGAGCGCAGAGGAGAGGTGCAGGCGGGGTTGGGGCAGCCAGGGCAGGCACGCCACCACTGGGGGGAGAGGAGGGCAGAGCAAGGGAGGAAGAGAGAAGAGCGGAGAGCGTGTGTTCGGGAGAGAAGCGGGGAGAGTGGAAGGAAAGGGAAAGGGTCGAAGGAAGTGAGGCTTGGTGAGGAGAGGTGATGAACGGTGGCAGGTGCAGGTGAGGCGAGACGGTGATGGCGGAGGAGACACGTGGGCAGCGGGGAAGAGGAAGTGCAGATGCATGGTGGGGGCAGATGCATGGTGGGGGCAGATGCATGGTGGGGGCAGATGCATGGTGGGGGCAGATGCATGGTGGGGGCAGATGCATGGTTGGGGCAGATGCATGGTGGGGGCAGATGCATGGTGGGGGCAGATGCATGGTGGGGGCAGATGCATGGTGGGGGCAGATGCATGGTGGGGGCAGATGCATGGTGGGGGCAGATGCATGGTGGGTGGGGGCAGATGCATGGTGGGTGGGGGCAGATGCATGGTGGGTGGGGGCAGATGCATGGTGGGTGGGGGCAGATGCATGGTGGGTGGGGGCAGATGCATGGTGGGGGCAGATGCATGGTGGGGGCAGATGCATGGTGGGGGCAGATGCATGGTGGGGGCAGATGCATGGTGGGGGCAGATGCATGGTGGGGGCAGATGCATGGTGGGGGCAGATGCATGGTGGGGGCAGATGCATGGTGGGGGCAGATGCATGGTGGGGGCAGATGCATGGTGGGGGCAGATGCATGGTGGGGGCAGATGCATGGTGGGGGCAGATGCATGGTGGGGGCAGATGCATGGTGGGGGCAGATGCATGGTGGGGGCAGATGCATGGTGGGGGCAGATGCATGGTGGGGGCAGATGCATGGTGGGGGCAGATGCATGGTGGGGGCAGATGCATGGTGGGGGCAGATGCATGGTGGGGGCAGATGCATGGTGGGGGCAGATGCATGGTGGGGGCAGATGCATGGTGGGGGCAGATGCATGGTGGGGGCAGATGCATGGTGGGGGCAGATGCATGGTGGGGGCAGATGCATGGTGGGGGCAGATGCATGGTGGGGGCAGATGCATGGTGGGGGCAGATGCATGGTGGGGGCAGATGCATGGTGGGGGCAGATGCATGGTGGGGGCAGATGCATGGTGGGGGCAGATGCATGGTGGGGGCAGATGCATGGTGGGGGCAGATGCATGGTGGGGGCAGATGCATGGTGGGGGCAGATGCATGGTGGGGGCAGATGCATGGTGGGGGCAGATGCATGGTGGGGGCAGATGCATGGTGGGGGCAGATGCATGGTGGGGGCAGACGCATGGTGGGGGCAGACGCATGGTGGGGGCAGACGCATGGTGGGGGCAGACGCATGGTGGGGGCAGACGCATGGTGGGGGCAGACGCATGGTGGGGGCAGACGCATGGTGGGGGCAGACGCATGGTGGGGGCAGACGCATGGTGGGGGCAGACGCATGGTGGGGGCAGACGCATGGTGGGGGCAGACGCATGGTGGGGGCAGACGCATGGTGGGGGCAGACGCATGGTGGGGGCAGACGCATGGTGGGGGCAGACGCATGGTGGGGGCAGACGCATGGTGGGGGCAGACGCATGGTGGGGGCAGACGCATGGTGGGGGCAGACGCATGGTGGGGGCAGACGCATGGTGGGGGCAGACGCATGGTGGGGGCAGACGCATGGTGGGGGCAGACGCATGGTGGGGGCAGACGCATGGTGGGGGCAGACGCATGGTGGGGGCAGACGCATGGTGGGGGCAGACGCATGGTGGGGGCAGACGCATGGTGGGGGCAGACGCATGGTGGGGGCAGACGCATGGTGGGGGCAGACGCATGGTGGGGGCAGACGCATGGTGGGGGCAGATGCATGGTGGGGGCAGATGCATGGTGGGGGCAGATGCATGGTGGGGGCAGATGCATGGTGGGGGCAGATGCATGGTGGGGGCAGATGCATGGTGGGGGCAGATGCATGGTGGGGGCAGATGCATGGTGGGGGCAGATGCATGGTGGGGGCAGATGCATGGTGGGGGCAGATGCATGGTGGGGGCAGATGCATGGTGGGGGCAGATGCATGGTGGGGGCAGATGCATGGTGGGGGCAGATGCATGGTGGGGGCAGATGCATGGTGGGGGCAGATGCATGGTGGGGGCAGATGCATGGTGGGGGCAGATGCATGGTGGGGGCAGATGCATGGTGGGGGCAGATGCATGGTGGGGGCAGATGCATGGTGGGGGCAGATGCATGGTGGGGGCAGATGCATGGTGGGGGCAGATGCATGGTGGGGGCAGATGCATGGTGGGGGCAGATGCATGGTGGGGGCAGATGCATGGTGGGGGCTGTGAGCATGGGCGCGCGTGGTGCGCGCGATGAGAGGGCGGGGATGTAAGGTGGCAGTGAATCAGTAGAGAGTCGTAGCGGAGGGAAGAGAGTTTAAAGGAGGGGCGAGAGTGTAAAGGAGGGAAGAGAGTTTAAAGGAGGGGCGAGAGTGTAAAGGAGGGAAGAGAGTTTAAAGGAGGGGCGAGAGTGTAAAGGAGGGAAGAGAGTTTAACGGAGTGAAGAGAATGTAACGGAGGGAAGAGAATGTAAAGGAGGGAAGAGAATGTAAAGGAGGGAAGAGTGTGTGGGAGGGAAGAGGGAGGGGGAAAGCAGAGGATGGAGAGGTCCGGGTACACACAGATGCAAGCGCATGCACAGATGCAAGCGCACACACAGATGCAAGGGCACGCACAGGAGCTGCAGAAAGCTGCACAGAGATGCAGACACTTGCGTATGCATGTGCATGCCCCTTTTCGCTTCACACAAACACAAAAGACAAAAAAACATGCTCACTCCACCCCTCTCCTCCCTAACACTTACACTGGAAGGACACACAGACATCTCCCCCCCTCACACACAGAGCCCACCCCTCCCAGCACCAGCCTTCACCACCTGCGCCACGCGCGCCCTACAGTGCAGTGCCCACAGCACACCTCGGTGAAGAATGAGCACGGCGTCATCTACACGCCCAGCAGCAGCACACGCCGCTCCCAGCTTCACCCACACAGCCGCCCGCCCCTCCACCTCCTGCCATAGCGCCTCTGCCGCCCCCCCTTGCCCCTCTGACGCCGTCGCTGCCCCACAGGCCTCAGCAGCAGCAGCATCCCCAACATCCCCAGCAGCAGCATCCGCTGCGGCGGCAGCAGCAGCAGCAGCAGCGAGTGCCACGTCATCCCAGTGGCAGCAGAGCGGGCGGTAGAAGCGGATGGCATCTGCCGCCTGGCCGACAGCCATGAAGGCGTCGCCTGCCTCTGTGAAGAGATCTGCACAGTCGCCTGCACTCTCCTGCTCCAATGCCTGCAGGTACGGCTGCAAGGAGGGAGGGGGTTAGGGGTGGAGGAGGAGAGGGGGGAGAAGGGGGGTGTTTGTTGCAAGCAAGTAAACGGCATGTCAATATTCCCAAATAACGGTGGGTGTACATGGGGTGAATCCAATTGTACAAGCATCGCCTCTCCTGTACATGTGTGAGTCATGATGGAGTGAACAAGCAGGCAGGGGAGGAGTTTCCTGTTGCTTGCAGCCCCGAGCCAGGTTCCACATGTTTCAAAGAGAAACGGCGAATCCACAGCGGGCAGGGCAGGGCAGGGCAGGGCAGGGCAGGGCAGGGCAGGGCAGGGCAGGGCAGGGCAGGGCAGGGCAGGGCAGGGCAGGGCAGGGCAGGGCAGGGCAGGGCAGGGCAGGGCAGGGCAGGGCAGGGCAGGGCAGGGCAGGGCATCCTTGGGAGCGTGTTGAAACACTCCTTCGCCTCACGTGTGTGTCTGTGAGTCGACCCCCCCGGCACACGAGGCCCACAGCCGCCTGGGATCCAAGCTCCATCGCCACGGCACAGCACAGGGCAGTGCAGAGGGCTCACCTGAGCGTCTGTGAGCCGGCCCAGGCGCACGAGGCAGGTGCCCGCCTTGGCGCCCAGGTCCACCGGCAGGGCCTCCCCCGGACACAGCGACGCCCTCGCCCGCTCCACCACAGCCAGCGCTTCCTGGAAGCTTCCCTTGGTGATGTAAAGCTCGGCGAGAATGTTGAGCGCCGTGAGGTCGAGCTGGGCGGCGGGGGCAGTGGAGGGGGTGGCGGAGGCGAGCAGCGATTGGAGGACCTCGATGGCCTTGTCTGATTGGTCAATGCGGTGATACATCTGGAAGGGTGGGGGGAACGGGTGGCAGGAAGGGGGGTGAGCCCACTGCAGGGATGAATGGGCATGAGCACATCACGCACACACAACCAACCAGCACACTTTGCCTCAGAAACCTTCCACTTGAAACTCCAAGCCATGCCATACCGTGTCGTGTCCATCCACTCTAAACTATCGCATGCCAGGCCAGATGGCCAGGTTCTGCAATGCCACACCCGCTCAAGGCATCTCACCCGCTCAAGGCATCTCACCCGCTCCCAAGGCATCTCACTCACCCGCGCCAGCATCTTGCAGACCTCCCCGTCAGCCTCCCGCTGCCCATCCGCCTCCCTGTGCGCGCGCATGAGCTCCAGTGCCGCTGCTGCCCGCCGGTAGTCCCCCGCCTCCGCCAGCAGCAGCGCCTGCTCCCACCTCGCCTCCACGTCTGATGGGTCCCGCCGCACCACCTGGGAGGGGGGGGAGGGACGGGACGATGGATGCTGGGCTGGGCGGCAATGGTCAACTCCACCTGACAACAGCGCCACCTGGCCTGCCTGCGCCTCCGGCAGCAGCAGCGCCTGCTCCCACCACGCCTCCACACCCGAGGGGTCCCGCCGCACCACCTGGTAAAGGCGGGTGAGGAGCAGGGGGCCGTGCGGTGGGAGGCGAGAGAGGTGCATCCATGCGGTGCATGCGGTGCTGTGGAGAGATGCCATGCAGAGATGGCATGGGAAGTAGAGTGAAGTGAAGGCGGGAGTTTGGAGTGACGTGGCTCGGGGAGTACCTTGGAGAGGCAGTAGAGCGACTGAGAGGGGTTGCCCAGCTCCCTGCAGCGCACAGCAAGGGCCATGCAGGGAAGGTGGGAGAATGGAGCAGGAATGAATGGTGAGTGGCAGATGAGCAACCAATGACAGGCGGGCGCCACACAATAGCCATCACCTGCTCGCTCTCTCCCCCTCCACCCTCCCCACCCCGCTCCAAACCAACTCCCCCCCCCCCCCCTGTCTCACAGTGACCAGGCAGCAAGGCGGCGCCAGAGAGCGGTGTCCTGAGGGGTGATGTGGGCGGCGATCATGGTGAGGTTGACGGCCTTGCGCCGCTCCCCCAGGGCGTCGTACACCAGTGCCAGCGTCTGGTAGCTGTCCGGCACCGCAGGCGCCTCCCGTATCACCGCCTCCAGTAGAGGAATGGCCTGGGGGAGAGGGGCAGGGGCAGGGGTGGCGGTGCAGTCGAGAGGGGCAGGGGTGGCGGTGCAGGGGAGAGGGGCAGGGGTGGGGTGGTGGTGCAGTGGCTTCAGGTGAACATCAGCAACGCCACTGCCGTCTAGTGAAATGTCATGTAATGTGGACTCTGCTTTGTTGTTAGCTTGCCATGCGTCCATGAGCCTGCCCTGGCAGCAGGAGATCAGCACAAGCTGCCCGGCCCTCTCCCAATCCATCAAGCCTCCGCTGCTACCCTCAATGCTATCACAAGCGCCCGCACTCTTTGCCTTTCCCATCCTGCCATGCTCAATGAGGGACCTCACTATGCTACCCACGGCACGGCCCACGTCGCTTCCTCACTTCTCGCTCATCCCTCTAGAAAAAGACTGTCCCTGTCGGTCATTCACGAAGGCCAACACAGCTACCTGCTCCTCGCTGTAACACAGCTACCTGCTCCTCGCTGTAACTGCTCCTCTCCATGCTCGCCTTTTCAGTCCTCCCTTCCGCCCCCCACTTCGCTATAGTGCCCCCCACCTGACTGTGGTGTCCCCTCGCTGTAGCATCCTCCACCTCGCTGCACCATTCCTAACCTCGCTGCACCGCTCCTCACCTGGCTGCACCGCTGCTCACCTGGCTGCACCGCTGCGCACCTCGCTGTAGCGCCCCATGGCGTACATGAGGTTGGCATCGCCCAGGCGCGCCACCACCTCGGGCGCCAGGCGTGACGACCCCTTGGGCCGGCCCCTCCTTCGCAGCTGCCACGCGGATGTGGGGCCAACGGGAACATGGGTGGGCGGGGGAGATGGGTGGGGGGAAGATGGGTGGGCGGGGGAGATGGGTGGGGGGGGAGATGGGTGGGGGGGGAGATGGGTGGGGGGGGAGACGGTGTGACGAGGGCATGGAAGAAGGCATGAACGTACAATCACGCAGGAGAAGGGCGAGCATAGGGAGAGCACGGGGAGAGCACGGGAAGAGCACGGGAAGAGCACGGGAAGAGCACGTGGGAAGAGCACGTGGGAAGAGCACGTGGGGAGAGCACGGAGCACGTGGGGAGAGCAGGGAGCACGTGGGGAGAGCACGTGGGGAGAGGCGGGCGGACCATCTTCCTTCGCTTGCGAGACGGCGCCGTGGCGGCCTCCCAGATCTCGTCCATACTAGCTCCAAACAACGCCGCCCGCGCCGCCCCTCCACCACCTCCTCCCCCCTCGTCGTCAGTGCTGTCCCCACTGCCCCCCTGTGTGCGGCGGCGCCTGCGTGGAGAAAAGGAGGAGGCGGGGAGCAAGGACAGGCGGGGGAGGAGCGAGGAGGGGGGAGGGGGGAGCACGGGATGGGAGGGGGGAGGAGCGCAGGACGGGAAGCGGGAGGAGCAAGTGACCGGAGGGGGGCGGAGATTGGAGTGCAGGGAAGAGAGGTTCATGGGAAGAGAGGTTCATGGGAAGAGAGGTTCATGGGAAGAGAGGTTCATGGGAAGAGAGGTTCATGGGAAGAGAGGTTCATGGGAAGAGAGGTTCATGGGAAGAGAGGGGGAGAGGAGAGAGGACGAATGTGGAGAGGGCAGGGGCGAGGAGCTCAACGCAGGGGCGAGCAGCACAGCGTCAGGGACAAGCGGCCCACACACCGTCTCCGCTGCTGCCACTCCTCTCCCTCCTCGTCCTCATCCCCCCACCCTGCAGCGCCCCCTGGTCCCCCTTCGCCCCCTCCGCGCCCCCAGTGGGAGAGGGTCTCCAGCGCCAGAGCGGGGTTGCGGTGGGCCGCTGACAGCGACGCCACAGACGCCACCGCTGCAGTGCCGCCAGCCATCCATGTGCCCAGGGCACCGCCCTCCCCCTCCTCCTCGCCCTCAACTGATGTGCCGCGCTTCCCTCCCCTTCCCCTGCCCCTCCCTCCCCCCCGCCCCCTCCCCATCCCTCTTCCCGTCCCTCTGCCCCTCCCCCTGCCTCTCCCCCGTCCCCTCCCTGCACCCACGCGCTCCCACTGTCCCTCCTCGCCCTCCTCGCCCTCCTCGCCCTCCTCGCCCCCCTCCCCTTCCACAGCGCCACCTGCACCCCCACTGCTCTCCCCTCGACCCCTCCCCCTCCCCCTCCCCCTCCCCCTCCCCCTGCCTCTTCCTCTTTCCCTCCCCCTGCCTCTCCCGCGTTCATTGCCGCCACCCCCACTGCTCTCCCCTTCTCCTCCACTTCCCCTCGCCCTTCCCCTCCCTCTGCCCCTGCCTTCACCCCTCCCCCTCCCCCTCCCCCTCCCCCTCGCCCTCGCCCTCCCCTTGCCCCGCGCTCGTCCTTGTCCCGGTCTCATCCCATCACCTTCCAAACCCTCCTCGCTCATCCCCTTCCCTCCCTCTTCTACTGCTGCCCCCCCCTCGCTCCACGCCTGCGCGCCTGCACCATCGCGCCTTCGCAAGTCGTCCCCACGCCCTTGACGTGGCCACCACTCCTCATCCTCCTCGCCCTCCGAGTCCCCCTCTGCACTGCTTGACTCCGCTGCCCAGTCCGAGTCCTCCCCCGACTCGCACTCCTCCTCCTCCTCTTCCTCCTCCTCCTCTTCCTCCTCCTCCTCTTCCTCCTCCTCCTCGTCCTCCTCCTCCTCCTCCTCCTCCTCTTCCTCCTCCTCCTCTTCCTCGTCCTCCTCATCTCTCCTCTCGTCCCTCGCACCCTCCTCCTCACCCTTCTCGCCCCGGTCACCTTCACCTTCATCTTCATCTCCGCGCAAACCACCTGTCTCGTCGCCCTCTTCCTCCTCCTCCTCCTCTTCCTCCTCCTCTTCCTCCGTGTACGCGATATTGTCAGCCTCGTCATCAATTACCTCCTCCAAGTCCGCGACTTCTTCCAAATCCCCTTCCTCCATCGCCCTCCCGCCCTCCCCCTCCCCCTCCCCCTCCCCCTCTCCCTCCTGCTCGCCCGCCACGTCATCAACGTGCCACGCGTCAAGCAGACCGGTGTCGTCGCCGTCATCGTCGATGCGTGTGGGCCCCACACTCCCCCAACCCCCCACACCACCCCAACCCGCCACACCCGCCAACCCGCCTGCGCTTGCGCGCATGCGCCACTCCCCCGAGCGGCCCTCTGCCGCCGAGCGAGAGTTCCCCACAGCGCGTCTCATGCCGTGCGGCGGAAGCGACTCAGCGCCGGTGGCGCGGGGCTACTGCGGAGATCTGGACGCGCGGGAGGCACGGCAGCGCAAGAGGATATTTAAGAGTCTCTTTTTTTTTTTTAAGCGCGTCGTAACTTGGTGACACAACATGGGAAAATGTCCAGAGTGCCGCAGCGGAGTGAGTTGCGTGCTGACGCCATTTCCGGAAACCACAGGTTCCCCCAGTACTGATGATCATAATCGTACGCGGTAACGGCAACCTCGTGACCCAATAAACACGCTATTTGTTCTGCAAAAAACATCAGTGGTAATACCAATCTAGACCATTTTAATTCCTACACATTGCTGCTTGTCATTGTTAGGCTACAATGAAAGAGAAGCAACAGGGAGAAAGAATAGACTATGAACGTAAATGCCTCAATCCGTTGATGGAACAACAGGGGGGTCTTGGGAAGGCAGCTGCACCCACACAAACTCCTCCACATACCCCATGCTCTGCTCCTGCAAAACCCCGTGCTGCACTGCTGCTGCCTCCCCGCCCTCTACCTGCCCACTGCCTGCATCTCTGCTGCTCCTCTCTGCACTAGCCCCGCCTGCCGTGGCTTCAGTTGAAGTGCTGCTGCTTGGGATGGTGACACTGCTCTGCTGTGCGGTGCTGAGCGGTGAAGAGCGACAGCAGGAGTTGGGGCAGACGTAGACTGCCAGCGTGGCGAAGTCGAGCGCTGAGTCAGCAGTGGCGTCAGGCGCACTGTAGTAAATGATTTGGGGGAGCACCTGTGGAAGAGGTGGGAAAGGAGGGGAGCAAGGGATGTGCTTTGAGGGGCGTGAGAGTGCAGCAGCAGCATCGCTTGCACCGTTGGTAGGTTGGCTTGGGGGAGTGCATGCAGTGAGGGATGTGGGCACGCAGGACGGAAGGCAGGCGGAACAGGTGCTTGGAGGGGCAGAGGGAGGGGAGTGCAGCAGCAGAGGAGTGGAGATGGGAGGGCTGCACGTGCATGAGCTTCAAGCACAGGATGACCAGCGCAGGGCAAGTGGGCCTGTGAGTGTCCCCCACACTCACTCCCTTTCACCATCAAGCTGGTGCAGCTAAAGCCCTATGGTGGACGGCCGCAGCAAAAGGCTTCCCTGGTATCACACACTTCCACCTGAACGCACTGGGTTAACCCACCTGAGAATCCACCTGAGAATCCACCTGAGCACACCTGGAACTCGAATATCCTGTGCGCCCCGCAGCCACTGCAGGGGGGAATGGCGGCCTGGCTGGGCGGCTGCCCCTGCTGCTGCGGCCACAGCGGCCGGGCGGTGGGTGATCGGCAGTATCTGAGTGGGGGAGATATGGGGGGAAGGACAGAAGAAAGTAGAGCGGAGAGGGGAGCGGAAGGGAGGAGGGAAGGGGAGGATGGCTGAGAGCATGGTTGAGGACAGGTGTGCGAGACGGTGAGCAGGAGGCATGGGCAGGGAAGGGGTTGTTTGTGGAAGGGAGATGGCAACAAGCAGCAGCTCTCTTGCACATCCATGCATGCATGTGTGTGCACGTGCGTGCATGTGCGTCTGTGTGTGAGAGTGCGCATAGTTGTGTGACTGGGTTCTTGTTGACACATAGTCCAAGTAGTTCCGCCAGCAAGCTTTTGCAATTGTCCGGTCACAGAATATCACTCAAGACCTGCATTTGAGGGTGCTGCTATGATATGTTGTGGGTCTGCGTGACGGGTCTCACGGGTTGTGTGTGTGACTGAGTGCGAAGATGTGTGCTGAATTTGAAAAGGGCGATTGCAAAGCACCTGATGATTAGGTGCCTCGGCAATCACCTAATCACTTGTTCAGGTGCCTTGGCAATCACCTGATCACTTGTTCAGGTGCCTCGGCAATCACCTGATCACTTGTTCAGATGCCTCGGCAATCACCTGATCACTTGTTCAGGTGCCTCGGCAATCACCTGATCACTTGTTCAGGTGCCTCGGCAATCACCTGATCACTTGTTCAGGTGCCTCGGCAATCACCTGATCACTTGTTCAGGTGCCTCGGCAATCACCTGATCACTTGTTCAGGTGCCTCGGCAATCACCTGATCACTTGTTCAGGTGCCTTGGCAATCACCTGATCACTTGTTCAGGTGCCTTGGCAATCACCTGATCACTTGTTCAGGTGCCTTGGCAATCACCTGATCACTTGTTCAGGTGCCTTGGCAATCACCTGATCACTTGTTCAGGTGCCTTGGCAATCACCTGATCACTTGTTCAGGTGCCTTGGCAATCACCTGATTACTTGTTCAGGTGCCTTGGCAATCACCTGATCACTTGTTCAGGTGCCTTGGCAATCACCTGATCACTTGTTCAGGTGCCTTGGCAATCACTGCCTGAAATGCGGCCCATTGCTTCTTCTCTGTATCCGCTCCCTGAAATAATCACCATGCCACACCACACCATGCCATACCACACCATGCCATGCCGCACCACACCATGCCATGCCGCACCACACCATGCCATGCCGCACCACACCAAGGGGGCAATGAGAGGAAGTGCAATGGGAGGAAAGGGACACAGCTTCCTTTGTACCCACGGATGGAATCGGGGGGAGCAGAGGCTAGACGTGGGCGGGTAGGTGGGTGGGTGGGAGAGCAGGGATGTGAGGCACAGCGAGAGGGAAGCGGGAGTGCAGCTTCTACTGGGGAGGCAGAATGGAAGGCTTGGGCAATGCGAGTACAGGGAGCCACGGAGACACGTGGGGACGAGAGCGACACAGTCAAACAGGGGAATGAAAGGCAAGGTTGCAATGAAGAACAAACTTGGCACTGATACTTGATTCAGCATTCACCACACCACGCCCACCCCACCCCATGCCCACCCCATGCACACCCCACCCCATGCGCACCCCATGCGCATGCCCACCCCTGCCCCACGCCCCAGCACCTCGCCGAAGCCCTCCAGCTCGCTGGCAGCGATGGGCCCCTCCGCCTTGGTGCGCTCATTATACTCCCTCATTAGCCGCCGCACCTCCGCTCCCCCCGCTCCCGCCCCGACTCCCTTTCCCCCTCCACTCCCCCCCTCTCTCCCTGCCTCCTTACCCTCCTCACTCTCCTCGCCCTCCTCTCCCTCCTCCGGCTCCTCCTCCACCACCATCTCCCACTCCTTCCACCCGCCCCTGTCCAACACCGTCACTCTCCAATCCGCTTCTGACACGTCACTCCCTGCACACCCTGCTGACTCAGCATCTGCTGACGTGACAGATAACCTCGCTCTTGACGTGTCGGTGTCGGGAGGATGAGACGGGGCAGAAGGAGCAGCGGCAACAGGCGGAGGAGTGTGAGGAGCAGAGGGAGCAGCGGGTGGGGAGGTGGTAGAGGTGGGAGGCGGAGTGCGGGAGCAGGCAGCACTGTGGCCCGCTCGCCAGTGCTCCTTCTGATGGGCCCAGTGGCGTTCAGAAGGCGGTGAGGACGTGAGCAAGTGCCGGGGGGATAGCGGGAGGGACACAAGGAGCGAACAGCGAAGAGAGGAAGATGAGTGGACAGGGAGGCGTGGTTTGAGTTAAGGGCAGGGAGGCGTGGTGGAAGGCAGGGAGGCGTGGAGGTTTGAAGGAATGAAGTGAGGGCATCCAAGTCGTGACCTCCCAGCGCCACGTGCAGGCAACGGGGAGAACGAACGAACGGTGCGATGGTGCGATGGTGCGATGCTGTGATGCTGCGATGCTGTGATGGTTGTGAAGCAGGGTGGGACCACGGCGTGCGAACCTGGTGGTCCTTGCTGCAGTAGGCCACCTGCCTACCTGGTGGTCCTTGCTGCAGTAGGCCACCTGCCTACCTGGTGGTCCTTGCTGCAGTAGGCCACCTGCCTACCTGGTGGTCCTTGCTGCAGTAGGCCACCTGCCTACCTGGTGGTCCTTGCTGCAGTAGGCCACCTGCCTACCTGGTGGTCCTTGCTGCAGTAGGCCACCTGCCTACCTGGTGGTCCTTGCTGCAGTAGGCCACCTGCCTACCTGGTGGTCCTTGCTGCAGTAGGCCACCTGCCTACCTGGTGGTCCTTGCTGCAGTAGGCCACCTGCCTACCTGGTGGTCCTTGCTGCAGTAGGCCACCTGCCTACCTGGTGGTCCTTGCTGCAGTAGGCCACCTGCCTACCTGGTGGTCCTTGCTGCAGTAGGCCACCTGCCTACCTGGTGGTCCTTGCTGCAGTAGGCCACCTGCCTACCTGGTGGTCCTTGCTGCAGTAGGCCACCTGCCTACCTGGTGGTCCTTGCTGCAGTAGGCCACCTGCCTACCTGGTGGTCCTTGCTGCAGTAGGCCACCTGCCTACCTGGTGGTCCTTGCTGCAGTAGGCCACCTGCCTACCTGGTGGTCCTTGCTGCAGTAGGCCACCTGCCTACCTGGTGGTCCTTGCTGCAGTAGGCCACCTGCCTACCTGGTGGTCCTTGCTGCAGTAGGCCACCTGCCTACCTGGTGGTCCTTGCTGCAGTAGGCCACCTGCCTACCTGGTGGTCCTTGCTGCAGTAGGCCACCTGCCTACCTGGTGGTCCTTGCTGCAGTAGGCCACCTGCCTACCTGGTGGTCCTTGCTGCAGTAGGCCACCTGCCTACCTGGTGGTCCTTGCTGCAGTATGCCACCTGCCTACCTGGTGGTCCTTGCTGCAGTAGGCCACCTGCCTACCTGGTGGTCCTTGCTGCAGTAGGCCACCTGCCTACCTGGTGGTCCTTGCTGCAGTATGCCACCTGCCTACCTGGTGGTCCTTGCTGCAGTAGGCCACCTGCCTACCTGGTGGTCCTTGCTGCAGTAGGCCACCTGCCTACCTGGTGGTCCTTGCTGCAGTAGGCCACCTGCCTGCAGCCGCCACAGCGCTTGCTGCCCCTCCACGTGCCACACCACGCGCACATGGGCACTGCGGGTGGAGAGAGGGCAGGCAGGGACTTGAGGCACGAGGGGAGCAGTCAAGCACGCAGTGGCATGCAGGAGCACGCACACA